GTTTTTTTCTGCTGTAAAGTTGGGCATTTTAACATGGGGAGTCTATGGGACGGACTCCCTTTTGGAGCCAGCCTCTAGCGGCCAGTTGATGAATTGCAGTTTTAGTCACTTCCGTGTTGGTTTCACGAGAGAGAGCGGGAGGTTGCCGCTTGCCACTGACGCCACTGTTTTGATTGCGGAAGTTGTGATTCTGTATGGGATGATATTAGACTCTAAATGATTAATAGATGCACGCACAGTTATCCATGTACTGCATACATTTTATACATGTATCTTACTAACCACAAACAAATGCCTTTCAATATGAGTCTGTGGAATTCGGGATTAAGCATTTTATTTAAAAAATGGAGAGCTTCCTTGTGCTAAGTAGGCCTGCCCTCTACTAAAGATTTTTCTAGTCAACTAGTCGCACATTATATTAAATTGATTAATATAATAATATATTAACTATACTTCAATATAGGCTATAGGCAGACGAATTAGGGTAGAGCCTATTCCGCGCTCAAGCTCGCGCATAAAGCAATTGCCTCAAAGCACCGGCAAAGTGATTATGAACGTGTCGGGGGAAAAGAAGACATTTTAATTATTTATTAATAAACTAGTGCTTTCTGAGTCAGTGTCTGGTGCAAAGATGAGGTTGCCGAATGCCGACGCTGACTCGCCATCTCCAAATGGACGTGCCTTTAATAGAAATGCACCTTTTCATACGGACTACAAAATTAAAGAATATTACAAAATCGAGTGGGCGAGTTTTCCTTACATTTATTTTATTATTCATATAAAAATGATCATAACCTGTTTTGGTTATATTTACTATTAATTGCAGAAGGTGCGCTCAGCAAAAATGACGCAAATATTGATGGTTTTCACGCTTAAGTAAAGTAAAAGACCGCTTATTAAACCAGAGAAGGTGAACATGTTGGTATTCTTGTGGGGAAAATACCAACATGTAGTGTCACCGGCAGCAAGTTTAATTTTACTTTTCTTTTGGTTTTGTTTTCATTTTGAAAAGCTGATTTTTGCTGTTTACCTCACGTTATGCTATGGAGGCTCTCTCTCTCTCTCTCTTTTTTTTTTTGATTCCTCAGTGTTTGCTAAACGTTCTGTAATTTATTAGTCATTATATAGCCTAATACAGCGTGTAGGCCTATGCCATGCCTCATCTTATTCGTTTTTGTTAATAACGTTTTGTAAGCTAGTTTGTCATTGAATCTTACTGTTTTATTGTTGTTGTGCATTTTAATTAAAAATAATGAATCCATCTTTTTTTTTTGTCTTAAAAGGTGAAAGGTGTATAGATGTAAGCAAAACAGACAATTATATTTTATTGCAAAACCTGACAAGATCGTGAAATCGAAAGTCCCTAATATATATATATATATATATATATATATTTATTTATTAGTGGTGTCAAAATTAGCGCGTTAACGCAGGCGATTATTTTTTCAGTTTAACGCTTTAAAAATATTTAACGCAATTAACGCAGGGTTGGGGCTAGGGTTGGCCACTCCACTCACAACTGTATGGGATGATATTAGACTCTAAATGATTAATAGATGCACGCACAATTATCCATGTACTGCATACATTTTATACATGTATCTTACTAACCACAAACAAATGTCTTTCAATTTGAGTCTGTGTAATTCGGGATTAAATGATTGTGCAGCGATTTGTACAAATACAGACATGTTTGTGAATAAAAATGTTTTGTTCTGCATTAATATATCATAAATTGCTCATGCAAAAAGGAATACATGCATATGTGGATCAGATGACACGCGTGCATTAATTGACTTCTAGTTCGAGTCGATCTTGTTCGGTTCATTTGGATTTTGAGACTTCATTTTCGCAGTTTACAGCACACACAACTACCAACGAACAAGGCCCAGTGCAATTCATAAACGTGTACACGATTTGAAAAAATCGCAAATGTGCGTCACTACACTGAAACAAATGCTTTTCAACCGGTGTCTGCAGAGTTAATAATTACATTAATGCGCAGCATTTTGATCAAATAGAGACATATTTGTGAATACAAATGTCATAGTTTGTATTAAAGTATCATGATTTGTGCATGTAGCGATTAAAATGTGCATTTGTGGATCAGGTGACACGCGCGCATTCATTCACGCCTCTTCTGAGTCGATTCTATTTGATTCATTTGAATTTTGAGACTTTCGTTACGCCCTTTTAGCCTTGCGCAATCCACACACACACACACACAGCTCGCGATCCACGCGCAGCTGAGACACAGAAAATCAGCGACCACTAGATGGCACTAGCCCCAGTCACATGTGCGCATTCAATTGAGTATGGTTTTATGAATGTTACATTGTGTTTTCTTTGTTTCTTTTTGGTTTGGCTATTCTCCTCTGCCCGTAGAAATATAATAAAGTTGTTTTATTGAACTTGTTCTAATTTAACTTGTCTTAAGACACAGAATAGCTTATATTAATTTTGCCAAACAAGAACTTCGTGACGGTACCTTGG